ACAACTAACTGAAGACCGCAATTCCTTTCGACTACAATTTGTTCAAACAATGGTAAATTTGTGACATTGTGCCGTTATAACGCAAAAAAATGTAAATACCTCTTTCTAAATACAAATATTTCTTAATTTGCACAAATGGGATTTCTACAAGCCTTGTGGAAGATTCTCTATCGTGAACAAGGTCTGGGATCCTCGCCACCAAGGATTGCGGAGTTTTCATACACAAATCCTTCAAAGGATCAAGAACAACTACATCGGTAAGTATACCCATTTTGCGTGATATTAAACGACGACTTATCAACTTGTTTATCATGCAATGCTTTCATTTTATGTAGGTCTGACAGTGGAGTCTGGGTCTGCATGTGGATGTATGGTGCAAGCTGGGGCTCCTCTTATATTTGGGTAAAGACAATTCTAGTTCGCATATTGGAAAACCACACTTGTTTGTTATTTTTGAATCATGCATTAAGCACCATGTTTGTTGATGCTGATAGCCATGCACTCAAATGAGGAGGATGCAGATCGCTTTGTACCTTGTTCGAGAGCCCATGAACTAAATAAGGCGTATGGTGCTGACGGAAGCAAGAACAGTTGCACCTCAAGTTGAAGCTGCAGTCGAAGAGTACAAGAAAGCCCATGAAAGGAGGAAAAAGGAAAGAGAATAGCACAACGAAACCCAGTCAAAGAGCCCAAGGACAACCTGATTTTGCATTTTTTTTAAGATGATGGACAACCATGTTATGTTTTGTTTTTCAAGATGATAGACAACCATTTTTGGTTTGGTTTGGTAAATGCTTTCTATATTTGTTTTTTGGTTTAGTTTGGTTTGTTTTTTCGTGGAAACTATATTGACTTTTCGGACAGCCATCCCTTCCGAATCGAGTCTCAAAGTATCTAGCTTTAACCTGGCTACTACCTTAGCCAACAAGTGGCAATTTCCAGCTTTCCAGTTACACTTTTGCACAACCTGAAAAGGGACCTTCTGGACTTGATCTCCAGGTTCAATACAATCAATAAAATCTCATTTTCATCGAGCCATGCGTGACGAACAGGCTTCCAAAGTGAGCTACCCGAAATGGCAAAGGGACTTGACCAAAATTCCAGCTTCCAACTTGTGAGTGAGGTTGCTTCTGGTTCAAGCCATTGTATCTTGTAGAGAGGTTTAATTGAGATCATATCATTCCACTTTGTTCCCAATTGCCCTCGTCTAATTAAATTTGCATTGATGTATGGTTAACCCAAAAAGTAAAACTGATTGGCTCCCAATCAACATAATTATTGACGAAAACCCGTACAAGGCAGATAGAAAATTCTTAGGTAATTAATTTAATGTTCTTAGGATATGGAAAGGCTTTCATTCCTTGAATTTCCACCAACTATGTATGCACTCCCCTTTTAGTGAGAGAATTAATTGTATTAATAAATACAATAAAAGGCTTACATAATTAATAGATTCTTTATTGTGTATAATTAAAAGGGTATATTTACTATAAACAAAGCATGATAGATTCACTGGGGGGAATAAAAGAAGCATGAGTCTTGATGAAAAAGAGAAAAAATCACCATAGATCAAAATTCATTATAATCAAGCCATTTAAAATCCATACTATTCACGCCTATCATCATCACTATACTTGTGACCAAATATAAATAAAATCATAATTTTCAAAAACCATTAAAAATTGAAGATGAAATAAGTAACACATTCTTCGACCTAATTGGAACTGCTTAGAACAAAAACGGATTAAAATCTCCCACAATGAAATTCATTTGCAATTTCATAGGTAGTCCCTACTTCCACTTCTACAATTTTGAGAAAACACCACTTCTCAACTTCATCCAGTCTACAACAATGAAATCCAAATGCAATTTCAATGAGTGGGACGAACATATTAATTTAGCACTACTAAACAATTTATATATCATCTCATTCATCTAAAATCTTTAATAAAGAGTAAAAAAGGGCCCACCAACGGTCCATTTGAATTGCAAGAAGAATTGCACATGATGCAAATTTGCACCCTTGCAATAGCTTCTCACATCATAGCAATATAAAGATACAATTGCACCTCCTTGCAACATCATCTTGAAAGTCACAAAAATTGCACCATTGGAGATCACCATTACTGCATCTCGTCACCTGTCTTAGGGATCCTAGCCATGGCAAATTCAAAAAATACTGCATACATAGAAAAATCCAAGTGTGGACATTTCAGTAATCAAAATAGGAAACTTTCCTAGTCAGATGATGTACTGGCTCCCCTCAGTACCTGACAGTTTGAGTGCTGGAGAATAAAGGAAAAGACAAAAGACTGAAAAAAAACCCAACAAAGACTTAGTAAACTTGTTAACAGAAGACATCCATTGCTGGCCCCTTTGCTCCTCCAACGCTCCACCCCGCCCTGCATCAATCGACTCTCATGCAAGCCGAGGACGTTTGCTTGAGGAGGCCTCAGGGGTCTCTTGATGGTCCGTATTCCGATTCTCAATAAAAGTATTAGTCAATTCGGCTATACGGTACACCGACAAATAAGCGCACTGGTCCTCCTTAACATAAACGCTCAGATCCATCCCAACTCTTTCAAAAAAGGTGCTGACGAAGGTGGCATAGGGAAAGGCAGTGTACCAGTTTTCCCCTTTGGGAGCAGCTTCGACAATGTTCAGACACATTAGAGATGCGAGGTTAACAGGAACACCTCTTTGAGCTTGCACAAGGATAAACAAGTCAAGTTTATGAATAATGGAATGACCATGGTACCTTGGAAGGAAGCAGTTGACGATCAACCGGTGGAGGAATCGAAGAGGATCTAGGAGGAAAGAAGACTCAAAATCGTACAGCCGCCCAAGATCGCTTCTGCTCTCAATGGGGTATCCTCCAGCGGGAAGATCAAGGATCTCAGCAAATTGATGAGGCTGAAAGCAGACTCTATGTCCGAGGAAGATCGACACCATATGAGAATCAGAGGGACCAGAAAATTGTAGATTGTGGTAGAACTTCCTCACGACATGGGGGCAGTAACTTGTGCTTCCTCGACTCCGAAGATCAAAGAAATTTTCCCAGCCAAGATTTTTTATTAACGTCTTCACTTCTGGAGGGAATGGACTTAGGTGGATGAACTCGTACTCGGCGACAATGACGGTTTTGCTTGTAAATGAAAGATAGTCATCGAGACTGGAGATGGATCGGCAGTCTTCGTTTGATAGAGACAGTATCCCCATTTTCGCAAATGATCTACTTTTCTTTGTCATGGAGTCTGGAGGAAGAAGGAACAAAGGGAAGGTGAAGATGGAGGAGCGAGAGAATGTAGGTGTAAGAAAAAGTGACCGTGGGGGGTTGAGTCTGGAGACGTGAGTGTGATGGAAAGTATGATAAACACGATAATAGACATGGTCACCGTAATCGTCTTAGAAAGAGATAGGCGATGGGAAATAAAATGGCGAAGAACAAACAAGACAAAATAAATTGGGACATTCAAACTACGTCGAATGTGGATGCAAGGAATTGGGATTAAAAAAGATGACTAAGTAGGGGAGTTCAAATTGGATGGGGAGCTTCTCTTGGAACTGTGAAGGGGCGTCCCTCCATGACGAGAGAGGGATCGTGTAATTGGTTAGGGAGACTGGAAATTGGTTAGGGCGGCAGTGGGTCTACCCAATTGGGTTTGTAGTCTTAATCCATTTATTTAATCGGGGCAGTTAGTTGGACTAGGATGAAAACAATCTTAACGCGTAAGGAGGCTTTTTGTAATGTGTTTAGTTATTTAGTGGCGCATTTAGGTTCAACAAACGTGAGCCGTGGAGATTGAGAATGAATGGTTAAGATCGGCCAATGTACCCGTACCCTGGATTTTTCCCTGGGCACCGTAGAAGTCACCATATATATATGGATAATTACTTAACTGGTTAATCTGGTTTGATTCGCTAGGAGTGTGAAACAAAACTAAATGACCTAAACCCAACAAGGTAAAATTTTTAACCATACCAAACCAATTATCCAAATTAACCAAAATATGCAAATACTACCGGTTAAAATGTTACCACGATAACCACTCTGTTTGAATACCCCTATCATAAACATCCTAAAGCATACCACAAATTTATTAAAGCAACGAAAAATGGTTTCGTCTAATGGTAATACCAGTTTTTTTAAAGCATACCAGAAATCTCATAAAGCATACCACAAATTTTTTTAATATATACCATAAACTTAGTTCATGAATTGGACATATTTGTAAATTTTAACAATTTTAGGTATAAAAATATAATTTTTCATCAATATTTTGATAACAATATTAAGTTTACATACAAAACTATAATTTGCATGTGAAATCTAAACACACGAGATGAAGGGGTGAAAGGAGTTGGTCCTATGAGTGTAGTTACTATCATACCTTTAATGAAAATGCTAGTATTGTGCTAATACTAAGAGTCAGTAAGAGGTGTTAACATATTATACGTATAACTTTTTTGTTATCATATATCCTTTAAATAACTCGGATAGCTATTATTTAATTTTATAATATCATGCAGTTAGTTTTGGTACACTAGTAGGCTATTAGCACCGCATCTTATTATATGTCTCATTATGAACTCAAACCTTGGTACTCTTTGGACATTTATACACAAATCAAAAAAAAAAAAAAAACCAACAATAGGCCATATAACGGAATACAGACAGGTGAAGGTCGCAAACGAAAGACAAGCCAAAATCAACATTCCCATACTTGACCAACGATCTCTTTGGTGGATGAGATGCTCATTCACGTACAACTGCCCTGCCCAGCTGTGAGAAGAAATGAGACAGAAAACAAACACCTCGATCCCAATCATTGTACTTAGCTTTTAACCCATAAATGAATTCCAATTTTTGGCTTCCCCAATAATGCTCCTTTATAACCAGCCCGACACTTGTCCACCACACTTACTCGTGACGCAAGCAAAAACAAAACAGAAAACGGGAAAAGAAAATGCCCAACCCCCGCCCTTCTCTCCTCATTCTAATGCTCTCCGCCGCAGCATCGGCCATCTCGGCGGAGGTGAACTTCACGGTCGTCAACAACGCAGCCGATACTATAGGAGGGAAGAGGTTTGAGCGGCGGATAGGAGCAGACTACAGTTGCCAAGCCATGTCCACGGCCACAAACTTCATATGGGACCTCCTCGAGCAAACCACGTCCTTGGGTTTCGGTACCAACACCACCACCAACACCACCACTAGCGAGCGGCGGGACTACAGCAACGTGACCCTCTACATCGAGCCAATGGACGGGGCGGACGGCGTGTCGGCCTACGCGCTGGGGAACAGCCTCCACATCAGCGCCAACTACATCGGCAACTACACGGGGAACGTGAAGAAGGAGTTCACGGGCGTGCTATACCATGTGCTGGCGTACACGTGGACGTGGGACGGGGAAGGCGAGGCGCCACGTGGGCTGAGGTCCGGGATGGCCGAGTTCGTGCGACTCAAGGCCCACTATGCCCCGCGGATGGTCGGGGGATCCCCCGGGAGGACGGATTATTGGGACGAAGGGTACGGCGTCACGGCCATGTTCCTCGATTACTGCAACAACATTAAAGACGGCTTCGTGGCGCAGCTGAATGCAAACTTGAAGGAAGGCTACAGTCGAGGGTATTTTAGGGAGTTGCTTGGGAAGTCTGTGGATGTGTTGTGGCAGGATTACAAGTCCAAGTATCAGATGGATCGCCCATGACTACCTACAATAGGCTCTTTAGAAAGAGCAAATGGGTGATTTTGTGGTTTCTCATGTGCGTGCGTGCGTGTGCTGCTTAAAGGTCTTACAAAGGGACAAGAAAATTCTAAGGCCCGGACCTTCCTAGTTGCTTTATTGATGTTCTACTTTCTTTCTGACTCCTTAATTAAGGCAATATTATTATTCATTCGTTTATTGATGGGGTTGTAATATGATACAAAATGGATTCCTTGTTTCTTTTTGTGTTTTCTGTTTCAATGTGAAATCGATGAAGCGGAAAATTAAAACCTACACATGTCGCGATAATCTTACGTTGTTTCCCGTGTAGAACGAATGAGGCTACTCCACAAAGAATCATATATGGATTATTGGTTAATTCAGTATGTTTTGTATCTCGAATCTGTACGGTTGCGGTAGCAACAAATTCGCTAGCTAATGTATGTACACAAACTCGTATTAATTAGGGTGTGTGTTTATCTCTGGAAAATACCAAAATACCTTCATGTAATTCAATACTCCCCCTCAAACTGCTGTATGAAAATGATGAATACCTAGCTTGAAAATCAATGTCTGAAATTGTTTGGTGCCTAATGTTTTAGTGAAATCATTGGCTACTTGTTGTGTAGCGTGATTCTTGCAAGGAGAAATGTCGCCAGACTGCACTCATTCATTAACAAAATAAGAATTCGTCATGCACAGGTTTGGAGCATTAATGGAACATCAAGTTAGCTGCAATTTGGAGAGCATCTTAATTAACTTGTGCAATAAAGTGGAGTAGGACAAGCTTGTGATTCAGGCTCAACCCGAAGAAGAGCAGTAAGAAGAAGACAAGGTGGAGTTTGTAGTTTATAACATGGTCAACCAAGCCGCTCAACAAGGTGATGAGGAGATGACCATGGGATATTAATGACTCCACGACGGGAGGATATCAAGTTGAGAATTCGACATCCATCTGTAGGTGGCAAACCACTTTGACATCAAGACTGATCTTATCTCAATGATTCAAAATCACAATCCAATTCCATGACCTCGACAACGATGAAGGTGAGGGTCGAGCTCGAGAAAAGAATGCAATTTGATCTTTTCTTCTGGTCAATAAGATGGATGGAAAACCCTAATTCACCACGTGAAGAACAAGTGAAGATAACGAATAGAAATAGAAATGTGGAACGGGTAGAGAACGACATTCTGGATTATTAGATTTGGATTGGTTTCTGAATTGTGGGTTAAGCGATTTGTGGAATAATTGTTGGGGGTGTTCGAATAAGAGGGCCCAGATGAATGGGCGAAGCCCAGTAAGAAGGGCATGGTCTAAGCAGCCCAAGATAAGACGGAGCTTACTCGAGGCCCTGCGGTGGGGATGCTTGTTAGGCGCCTGGAGTGCACTTGAAAGATTATGAGCGCCCGAAGTGAGCGCCCGGGAGTCACCCGCATTAAATGCGGTGATGACGTGGAAACCCGTACATAGTGATCCAGGTAAGTGATGAACAGTTATAAATAGCAGGGTTGGTAAGCATTTACTCAATTCGGCTTCTCTCACTAAAATTGTGCTTACAAGCACTTCTCTCACTAAAAAAGATACTGACTTGAGCGTTGGAGGACTAACGGGCCACAAGGCCCACCTCTGTGAGTGCAGGCTCATCCACGGAAGAGAGGGCGTGTACGGAAGAGGGGTAGGAGGATCAAGCGGGCTTCAACAATTGGCGCGCCAGGAAGGGGCGAACACAACCGGACGGTAGGACGAGAGGAAGGGGCGCCTGGTTTCAATGGAAGAGGGTGGAAGTGAAGTTGAGGAGCAAGTCGTGGGGGAGGCGTCACAAGAGGCAGGAGGACAAACGCCTAGTAGGGAGGAGGATGAAGGAAGTGAAGGCCGGCATTTGAGTTCGGAAGGAGCCTCGGTGACTAAGAAGGAACTGTTCAAGATCATAGCCGATCAGGATGAGGCCATCGGGATGTTGAGAAGAGAGGTAGAAATGTTGAAAGAGGGTGCCCCTAGCCCTGGGACAAGGAAGAGAGAGCGTACGATGGAGGCTGAAGGTGAGTCCAGCTCGCTTAGGCGCCTTGCCAGCATGTGGCGCCTGGCTGACTACGGAGACTCCGAGGGAGAGAGGAATGTGTGGATGCAGGGGCGCCCACCTCGACAGTTTGTGGTACGACAGCCGTTGGCCAGATGTGTGCTCATGGAGCCCGCCAGTACCAACATTCCACCACTTCCCACCTATGATGGTACGGCGGACCCTGACGACCACCTTAACAGCTACTTCACAAAAATGCAGCTGTATAACAGTTCGGACGCGACCTTGTGCAAAGTGTTCCCGTCAACTTTCTCGGGCGTAGTACTAGATTGCTACCATCAGATCGAAGAGGGGCGCATCGAATGCTTTGAGCAATTTGCGGCGATGTTCTTGGCAAAGTTTGCAAGTAGAAAGAGGCGCACGCTGACCGTAGGCTCCCTGTTCAAGATCAAGCAGAAGGAAGGGGAAACTTTGAGGGAGTTCTATGAGCGGTGGATCTCGGTGGCCATGGCTGTAAGAGACGTGCAACCCCCGGTGCTCGGGGTCCTCCTTGAGGAGTGCACCACGAGTGAGGAGCTTTGTCGGGCGCTAGCTAAGAGGGATGTAGTGTCTACGGAAGATTTGGATCGAAGGGTACAAAAAGTTATAGTGTTGGAGGAGGCGCTAGCAGCAAGACGGGCCGATAGGCGCCGCCCAAAGGGTGAAGAAGGAGATGGGGCACGGAGGCAGGCGCCCGAGTCCAGGCCTTTCTATGGAGGTACATCAGTCATGGCGGTGAGGAGGAATGATCAGGGGCGCCCGACGCCCAGAGTGAACCAATTCACGAAGCTCAACGACTCGCCGAAGAACGTGTTGCAATATGTGAAGGATAAAGGGTACCACGTGAGATGGCCGGGGCCTATGAGGGGGCAACCCAACCCACAGAATTTGGATCGATTTTGTGACTTCCATCGGGAGCGGGGGCATAATACGGTCGATTGTTACCAACTGAAGACTGAGTTGCAAGGGTTGGTGGACAGGGGCATGCTCAATGAGTTCATCAAAAAACCGGAAGAGAAGGTGCATAGGGCATATGTAGCCCGAGCGGAACCCAAGGAGGATCTCCCCCCGCCTCCATTCGAGCTGGATCAAGAGAAGGCGCCTGAGAGGGTGAGGCTTACGGTGGACGCAATTACGGGCCCCATGGATTTGAGAGATAAGTTGGAAGCTAGCAGGCGCCTGAGAGCGGCATCGGTTGATCGGCAAGAGGGAGTGTGCATTAGCTTCAACCAGGTGCCCGACGAAGCCTATGGGGTGCCTTCCTTAGAGGCGCTGGAAATTCAAGGGATAGTGGCTGGGTGCACGGTGAAGAGGATGCTCGTAGATACGGGGAGCTCCATGGACGTGCTGTTCAAAGATACGGTAACACGCATGCATTTGTCTCCTGACTTGATACGACCGTCGGACTCAATGCTAGTAGGATTCTCGGGGGCGCCGGCAAAGGTCATTGGGCGCGTGCGCCTCCCTGTTACTTTGGGTGATGAAGAACAGCGGGTAACACATGCTATTGATTTTGGAATTGTGGACTGCCCATCTCCCTACAACGCAATACTCGGCAGGCCCCTTTTGGCTTTGTTCAATGGGGTAGCGTCCACTTGTCATCAGACGTTGAAGTTCATAGAGCCGAAGGGAGTAGGCATTGCAAGGGGAAGAGGCGCCCCGATTTATACTATGCTAAAGAGCGTGCGGCCGCGTAAAATTCAAAGGGTGAATGTGGTTACTACCGAGGAGGCGCCCAGGGCGGAGGCGGCCGATGAAGAATTGCTAATCCCATTGGATGAGGGACGGCCGGAAAGGCAAATCAGGATTTCGGTACAGGCGCCTTCCGAAATGGTGGAGAAGTTGGTCGCTTTGTTGAGGGAGTTCGCCGAGTTGTTCGCGTGGAGTGCCAAGGAAATGCCCGGGGTGGCGCCTGAAACGGCTGTGCATAGGTTGGCGGTAGAGGAGGGCAGGAAGCCGGTTCAGCAGAAGAGAAGGAATCTTGCTCAGGAAAAGGAGGCTATGCTTAGGGTGGAGGTGGATAAGCTCCTAGACGCTGGGTTTGTTGAAGAGGCAGCTTATGTTACGTGGTTATCCAATGTGGTGTTTGTCCCCAAGCCGGCGGGAGACTGGAGGATGTGTGTGGATTTCACAAGTCTCAACAAGGCGTGCCCAACGGACGCATACCCGATGCCCCGCATCGACCTGTTAGTGGACGCCACGGCTTATCACGAGATGCTTAGTTTCCTCGACATGTTTTCCGGGTACCATCAGATCCCCATGGCTGAAGAAGATCGGTTGAAGACGGCATTCATGACGCCCTTTGGGAACTTTTGCTATAGGGTCATGGCATTTGGACTAAAGAACGCAGGCGCCACGTATCAACGCATGGTGAATACGGTCTTCCAACGACAGATCGGGCGGAACGTGGAGGCGTATGTTGACGATTTGATAGTCAAGAGCCACAAGCAGGGGGATCACCTGGGTGATTTGAGGGAGACCTTTGAAACCATGCGCCTTCACAACCTTCGGCTCAACCCCCTAAAATGCGTCTTTGGAGCAGAAGCAGGTAAGTTTTTGGGCTTCATGATCACTAAGAGGGGGATTGAGGCAAACCCGAAGCAAGTAGAGGCCATCAGCAGACTCGCACCGCCAAGGACGCCTAAAGAAGTACAAGGCTTAGCGGGGAGACTTGCAGCTCTGGGGCGCTTCATACCAAGGTCGGCCGATAAGGCGGCCCCCTTCTTCAGGGTCCTCAAGAAGGCGGTCCGCTTCCAATGGGATGAGGCGTGTAGCGAGGCGTTCGAAGAGCTGAAGCGCCTATTGGCGGCGCCCACGGTCATGACGGCGCCCAAAGCAGGGGAGGTCCTTTATTTATACATTGCGGTCTCGGACGTGGCGGTTAGCGCGGTACTGGTATCAAGAGAGGCGCCTACGGGAGAAGAGAGGCCGGTGTACTATGTGAGT